ATAGATAGATAGATAGATAGATAGATAGATAGATAGATAGATAGATAGATAGATAGATAGATAGATAGATAGATAGATAGATAGATAGATAGATATGTATAAAAAATATGATGAGCAAGATTTATAAAAACATTACACAGATGCTCATCAGCAGATATCCTGTAGAGTTTTTTTTTAATAAGGCGGGGTTTGGTATTCCATCTACCTTTTGTTGTGTTACAATGTGACAAAGAGCTGTGACCATTGTTAGACATACACATTTTTCAAGGTGATCAGGCTACGTGTGTGTGTGTGTGTGTGTGTGTGTGTGTGTGTGTGTGTGTGTGTGTGTGTGTGTGTGTGTGTGTGCACGTGTGTGTGTGTACTTGTGTGCATGTAATCGGGAAGAGATAAAAGAAAGCATTTTCTCCGGCAGTGTGCCTACCAGCTGCTTGGCTTAATGCTTAACCAATAGTGAAGTCTGGAACAGGGCTGGGGTCAGACATGGGGCCCTGTATGTGTTTGTGTGTGAGATGTATGAGAAGGGGTGCCCATTGTAATCACACACCCTCCCCTCCCTCTCCTCCCCAGCCATCTGCTCGGCGGAATGCAGTGAGAGGCATGGCTACTGCGAGGCCCCAGGGGGCTGTACGTGCCGCATGGGCTGGCAGGGCCCTTCCTGCAATGAATGCGTCCGCTACCCAGGCTGCCTCCATGGGACATGCAGCCAGCCGTGGCAGTGTAACTGTCAGGAGGGTTGGGGGGGCCTCTTCTGCGACCAGGACCTGAACTATTGTACTAACCACAAGCCATGCGCCAATGGTGCCACCTGCACCAACACAGGCCAGGGCAGCTACACCTGCAACTGCCGGCCCGGCTTTGGAGGTACCAACTGCGAGCTGGAGACCAACGAGTGTGACAGCAACCCCTGCAAGAACGGAGGCAGCTGCAATGTGAGTCAACAATCAGTTTGTCTGCTTATTATAAAGATGCAATAAGAGCAAGATAAGATAAGAAAAACTGATCCCATGCAGGCAAGTTTAAGTTTCACAACAGCAGGAGATAGGATAGGCCATGTGCAGCAATATACTGCAAACAACAGAAGAAAATGAATGGATGGATTATAAATTGTGCTAACAAAAAAAGAAAGAAAGAAAGAAAGAAATAAAAGAAAAGTCAAAATTGCACTTGAGGGAGTAGAACTAGATGATTGCTCTCTACTGGTCTACAGAAGATTTGACACAATGCATACAGAATAGTTCTTGGCAGCGAAATAGATTGGCTGCTTACGTCCTATTTTCTAGATCGTTGCTCCTTGAGCTGAAGGTTTTCTTTCCTTCCACAGGACCTGGAGAACGACTACTCCTGCACCTGTCCTCAGGGATTCTATGGGAAGAACTGTGAGATCATTGCCATGACTTGTGCAGATGGTCCCTGCTTCAATGGCGGCACCTGTGTGGAGACAATGACTGGAGGCTACACCTGCCGCTGCCCTCCCAGCTACACTGGCTCCAACTGTGAGAAGAAGCTGGACCGCTGCAGCAACAGGCCCTGTCTAAATGGTGAGTGTACGGCGACATCTTGTGGCTGAAGTACAAATCAACCAACCTTGGCTCTTCGTCAGTGGTGAAGTGTGACTCTCAGCACTTCTGCATGAATGCACTTGTACCAAATGTAATCCAATTAACACTCCTTCTTTAAACGACTGGCCACCTTCTGATTTAATGGATGCTGAACAGAGTGTTTCTCTCTTCTGCAGGCGGTGAGTGTCTGGATCTCGGCCAGAGCATCTTGTGTCGTTGTCAGGCAGGCTTCACAGGTGCCAACTGCCAGGTTAACATTGACGACTGTGCCTCAAGTCCCTGCCAGAATGCTGGAACCTGCCAAGATGGTGTAAATGACTACACCTGCTCCTGTACTCTGGGATACACTGGCAAGAACTGCAGCGTGCGCTCAGATGCCTGTGGCGCCCATCCCTGTCAGAACGGTGGCACTTGTTTCACCCACTTCACTGGGCCCGTGTGCCAGTGCCCCAAGGGCTTTATGGGTCCCAGTTGTGAGTTCACGCTTCAGCCCAGTTTCAAGCCAGCTTTGCGCCAAACCTCCCAACCCTCATCTACTACCCTCACCCTCTCCTGCGCTCTGGCTATTCTGGTACTAGTCCTGGTTGCAGGGATCCTCTACTTGAGGAGGAGGAGGAGAATGCAGGGAAGGAAGCAGCTAAGAGACACTGCAGTTTATAACGACTTGGAGACAGTCAACAACCTGGGTGGAAGCGAAAGAGACGCCTTCCTCGGCCCCAATGGCCTCTTCAAGATCAGCAACAGCACAGCCCGTCTCAGCCTCTCCCTCTGCCCAGACGGCAGACCGGGCTACAGGCACAACCCTGTGGAGAACAGCCTCTCCAGAGGGGAGCGTCAGGACTTCATGTGGAGAGATGAGGCAGGACTGAGATGAAAAGCGACAAAGCACAGATTTGAAAAACAGGGAAAGAAACACATTAGCACTTGTTGCTCCTCTTTCGATATGTACAGTGAGGGAAGGAGTAAATCCACAAGGTGGAAACCACTCGTGCTCACAAACCAATATAAACATCACTGAAAAAAGCAAAATTGTGACAAATAAACTATTCTGATATAGATGATTTATTACTGAGAAGGTATCCGGGGCCAAGCTCTTCCATGTGTAAGACCCAAAGAGACAAATAATATGATCCACTGTTCATAGGACCTAAAACACAAAACCAAATACAGGAAGATCCGATATCCAGGCCTCTTTTGGAAAACTGCCCAGATGTGTTTTGCTGGGTTATTCTTTTGAATATGTTCACTTTGTTGTTGTTTTTTTTAAACACTCAAATTTTCTTTTGCTTTTCAATCTTCCTTTTGCCATTATTTCCTTGTTGTGCGTACCATCATTTTTTTTATCCTTTTATTATTAATTATTATTTATTTATTTGAAAACTCGTGTTTATGGTTTCACTTTGTCACAGATGTAGAGATATATTTATATGATGCTAAATGAAGACCGATGCTTGATGCTGTGCATGGATGTTTTGTAGGCTGTGTGAGATATCCCAAAGATATGATGGGCAGGGATATAATGAGAATGTGCTTTTTCACATAACGTCAGCCATCACTGTAATTTATATAAATATATATAATATAGTACTGCTGTTCATGTGCCATTTTGAGTTCATGCCAAAGTTTGTTTTATGTTGCATCTTTTCATTCATATTATTTATTTGTAAGTTCATTATGTCATGGTTGTGATGTGAAATAAAACTTTGCTTTAAAGCGATCCGAGATTTTAGGATTCTGTTCCACAGGCTTGAACAGTCCTGTTTTACATGGTATCAGTGGTGATTTATATTCTGGTTGATCTAGGAGGCAATGACTTCAGAGCTCAAATATATATTTTTAAATAAACTAGTTTAACTATTTACTAATTCGCTCAAAAAAAAAAAAGGTCAAGATGCTGAAAAATGCATCTTCATTGCACTCACACACGGAAATTTCGAACCAGTGACTATCAGTCCGGTTCTTGTGTACTTTGGCTGACCTCAGACCTTTCTCCCTGTTTCTCTTCCTTAAGAATGGCTTCTTAGCAGCCACCCTACCGCTGTGACCATTCCTGATGAGGCTTCTGTTAACTGAACAGATGCTGTTCAGTTTATTAAACCTATTTTCCCTTCCAATTTTTCTGCTTCCTCAGATTTTTTTTCCAGGAATACACTGCACACTTTGCTGAGATACAGCAAGTTTTTAGTTTATAGCTCTTCAGGAATGAACTCGCTGATGCTATTTTATACCCATCAAACTATGTTCTGTTTGGCACTTTTCATAGATTCAACTAAAGAAATCAGAACAAATGAGGTGTTTTTGTAAGAAAGTAACTAAAGATGGCAATTACAATAGAAGTGATTCTGTCTCCTTGGAGGCAAAATGTAAAGAAATGATAGGGTAGCTCAAAACACTTCTGGATTTTTATGTTAAAGTGAGACGGAAAGTACTAACTACAACAGCTGCAGGACAGAATTTATGTATAAACGCTGTGACATAGTTAAAAGACAATATGCAGGACGGTGTTTTTTACAGCTATCTAAAAAGTGTGAGGAAACTGTATCACATGTTTATTTATTAATTAATATTATAGATTTCCTCCATGTTTTTTCTTGATAAAAGCTCTGCATGTTACTGGTGTAAATACATCTGGAATGAGAAAATAACTAAAATCAGAGACAGCTTTAAGCCTTCAGGACCCTCTCACGTGGAATCAGCTCGCAGTTTAGATTAAGGAGACAGAAACCTTCTCTAAAACTTGGTTTGATAAAGCTTACAGTTAGCCCCTTACTGTAGCTATGATGACAGACTCATGATGCACTGAATGCCTTCCCTTAACCCCCTATTTCTCTCCCAATGCATTCATATATGCCACTAATGGGAATTATTAATTTGCCAATCTCCTAAATTGTGGGGGAAAATATCTGCTCCTCCCTTTTAAAAGGGCGTACTTGCTCCTAATAGCTGTCATGTGTTTGCTCATAGGGGATGATCGCTGGAGTTCTTACTCTAATGTTGAAGGGTCTTTACCAAACAGTATAAACTGCCTTGAGACAACTGCAAAATAAAACAAAAAATACATTAATTTCTATCTTCTAATCAGACATTCGGCTGTGCTGAAATACAGCAAACAGCTTCATTCAACTGCTGCAGTAATCCATGTTAGAAATGCTCAGCTGAGTAAGGAGAAATTATAGTTCATCCAGTCTTCAAGAATGTCTAAAGTGTCAGTTGCAGCTACAATAATAACCACCAAACGCTGTGATGAAACTTCTCCAGATCTCCAACAATTCCCTTTGATACTAAACAAAAGTGGATTGGAGTCACTAGCCTGAGAAATCAACAGTTAACAGCAGCTCAGATCAGAGCTCAGCTCAGTGCTTTGCAGCCATGTCTCAGAATCAGGTGTTTATCAGGCTTTCAAAGAAAATAAACCACTGATGAGGTTCACCAACAAGATGAGAACAAAGAATCATGGACATTTGGCCAGAAGATATTTGAACTTGGTCTGATAAATCTAAATATGAGATGCTTGATTCCAGCTGCCATGTCATTGTGGCAGAGAGAGGCTGACAGATGGTATGTTCCCTAAGGGTTGAAGGGGGGGTGCATTCCCTCTTTTATGGCTTCTAGACCAAGAATATTGAGTGGTGAATAAGATCCAATCACCATTACAACCACCCAACCTTAACCCATTTGTCAAGCTGTGAAAGGTAATGGAAAATGAGTATAGCTGTAAGAAAGAAAGTTTTACTATGTGTTATTGGGAAGATTCCTAAACAAAGTACACTCTTGGTGCTTCCACAGAATTTAAAGGGTAAGTAGCAGCTCAATGCTTCTCAATCAAATCTTCTTCTTCTTCTTCTCATGGCTCATCCCATTAGGAGTCACTCCAGCACTTTTTCCTATGCTCTTTTTATGTAAGTGTACTTTCCAAGCACATAGTGTTAGATAGTAAACACTTACTAACATTCTATTTAAATGCACACCGATGGATGCATCCGCGTAACGCAGCGTAAAAAGATTAGTTGTTGAAGAGAAAGGACCCACTCCCTTTCAGAGGTCTCGCTAAGTGCCTGAGGTGGTGGTAGGTGTGCATGCCATGTGCCCCCCGTGAACGCTTACACACGTTGCGCCTGTGACATCATGAGCTTAAGTGACGCAATCGGTTAACCAGGCACAGCTGAGTAATTAGAAAGTGAAAATATCTCTTCTTTTATTTTCATGTATTTATTTATTCTTTTCTTGTTTTTATTAAAGGTTTTACAATCGGAATGGTTCAGTGACTTGCTCTATGTTCCAGAGAAGCCAAAGATTCAATTCAATTCAGTTTTTATCAAATCACAAAAACATCTCAAGAGGAACAAGGAAAAAAAAAAAGGTGGGAGCTGTGTCGCCTCCCAGCTCCTCTCCCGTCCGTGCGCGTCAAAAAGGCGAGAAACCAGCCCGACCAGTCCACAGCAGAGATGGCAGCAGAGATGGCAGCCGAGTGGACAGACGCAGCGCTCGAAGAAAACGCCGGCGAAGAGTGCAGTCGTAGCATCCCGAAGAGACATGCCCGGGTTACGGTGAAGTACAACAGGAAGGAGCTGCAGCGACGCCTCGACGTAGAGAAGTGGATCGACGAGAGCCTGGATAGACTGTACGCGGGGCAGGTGGGTGTCTCTGAGAGAAGTGAACTGATTTAGGATACTGCACAGTACTGTCTGCGTGTCCAACACGTTTAAAAGCTTTCGAGTTGAGAAGAAGTTGAAATGCGAAATGGAAAATATTATATTTAAACAAGAATGTTGCGTGAAGACACTTTCCTGAGACTCATCTTCAGGTCTCTGTTGATTTATGAGGTGTTTAGGGAATGAGGGGTGGGGCACTATGTTGTCCTTACAAGGCCAAACATCCTGTAGATGTGAGATCTGCTGCTGTTCCCGTCTCACAAATCTGTATTTGTCTTGGAGCTTTCTGCCTTACATGGGCAGTGTGGAACTGGGAGAAAAGGAAGAGGGGGTAGGAGGGAGAATGCTGGTTTTATGTCCCAGGAGGGGGTAAACACTACATCTGGGAAGCAGCTGACAAGATGTTAGAATCCCTCAACAGGAGTTGCAGGGAAAGTTTCTTGTTTTTGGACTTAAGAGTTATAATGAAAGTCTGGTTTGATTTTAAAATGGCAGCATTCAGATGGTTACAATGATAAGTCATCTCTCCAAATAAAAAGGAGCGAACATACCAATTTTCTCATCATCCCCATACCCAGAAGATTCTGAGTGAGACAAATGCTTTTTGTTTGTAAAATGGTCCTTTACAGTGAACCGACCTTACTCAACCAAGTATGATTATGCAACATAAGGTCATGTCACACTCAAGAACAGCATTTCATTGTTTTAAAAAAGAAAACGAGCTTAACAGGAGTTGCTGTTATAGTGCATAGAGTTGCAGTCCTATAAGTGCCAGGGGCCTGATCACAAAGGCAGTGCAGTGCACTGGTGTGCATGGGTGGGTGGACTGGCCCTTCACTCAGCTTGTACAATAGCTGTTTGTTCAAACAGAACACGCCACTCTTACTGTAGCCTATTACATGAACACTGTTAACATTTGGTCCCCACAGCCTAAACAATGCAATTAATGTTTGCAGGCTGAATGTAAATATTCCAGCTACTATTAAAGCTTAAAGTACTATTTGGACATGGAGGTTAAATGTTTCAGGAAGTCTTTTTAACTTAGTGACTGTTAAAATGGACATTTACACATGGCTGAATCGCTTTTCTCAGCATAAAGGTAGCCTACCTTTAGAACTTGGGTATTCAGAAAGTCCCTGTAAGTATGCGTACTGTGGATGTGCTGACTAACGGACATCTGGTAAGAATATTACTGTAAAGTTGTGCAAAAGTCCAGAGGGTGTGAGGACTCTCTGAATGGTGTGGTGTGTATGAAGATGTTTTAGACCATCATATTAGAAAATGTTCATCCAAATGGTGAAAGTCCCCATCCAATGGTGACTTTCTGTTAGATTTAATTTTAATTTATCAGCTGTTTGTATTCCAAAAATTATCATTCCCGGGGAGTGAATCCTATCCTAATCTCAGCCTATTCCTTTTTATGGTTTTTATTAGCCAGTTGAAGTGGAAGAGTTGAGACAGGCTCTAGGTGGTAGTGAAGAGTTACCAGATAACTGGGAAAGTACAGCTGACGTGTTGAAGTATTTGCTGTATCGTCTGGACAAATGAAAGAAGACCAGGAGACTCAGCAGTGGAATGAGCAAGTACACAAAAATATTCAAAGGAGGAAGCTGGCACAGAAAAATTGAGATCGGTACATAGATGAAGAAAGTGGATTGGGGTAGGCTAGACATACAGCAAAGACAGACAAAGTAAAAGAAAAGGCTTATAGTGAGCTTATGCTAGCTTGGACACTGAAGGAGAGAAGGACTTGCACTAGCTTGGCAGAGAGCTTGAACTGGAAAGGATGTGCAGCAGGTCAGGGTGATCAAGGATAGACATGAAAATGTACTAATTAATAAAGAGTGCTGAGAAAATGAAATAAATACTTTAAAGAACTTACGAATGAAGGAAGTAGTAGTAGTAACTACAGAGAGATAAAGCTGGTGGTTGGTTTGCAGTAGTGATCGCCAGTTTGATGGATGTGTTTTGTTCACATGATCATAGTTACTTTGGATCCACTGACAACTGAAAGGACAAAGTCTTAAGTTATGAGTTAGTACCTGCTCCAAAAGGCACCGACAACACAAACACCGTAAAGATCCAGTGTAATGACTTAAAGTAGTAGATAAGGTCTAATCTGAGGCAGATTTAAACCAGCTCCAGCTGCCTATTTCTGGCCACCTGGCAATCAAAGCGGCCACCCCCCAAACTTTTGTATCCAAGTGAATTTCATTCAAAATAATTATGAAGGGGGAAACTATCCACAGAGGCTGAAACAGTTCTTTGTACCAAGCTGCAAACATGCTTTTTAGTGCTATAAAGCTGGGCATATTAATATGTGATTCTATGGGGAATGACTAACTCTTGAACCCAGCTTCAGTTGCTATCTAGACAAACAGCAGTCTTTGAAACCTCCGCATTGGCCTAGTTTTTCAACGCCATAGGTTGCCCCTTAAACAAAGAAACAG